GATACTCGTAGTCATGTGGAAGGATAAAGGACGTCCATCATTCAGCACGAAGCAGCTAAAATCTGATTAGGAGTGCAACGGGGCCATAAAACAATTATGTAAATTAATTTGTGACCGACTGTCGTGCTCAGAGAATATTATGGGATAACTCTCAGCAACTACTACATTTTAGCTCAAAATCTGTTAATTGGTTGTGTTATAGCCATTTAGGGGGTTTCCTAAGGTCAGCTAGCTCTGGCCGCCATCTTAAATCAGGTTGACTCCAAATATTAATCCGTTGTAGATGTCATCATATGATTGTTTTCTGAAAGGTTCATTAAAATCTGTCCAGTGTTTCATGAGATTTTTTGCTAACAGACAGATGAAGGCAGCCTTCCCTAGCACCACTCCAGTCATCTGAAGAAACTATAGCATTATGAACTCTAGGAGGCATAGTTTTCGTAAATGATAGTAGTGGTCAGTTTACAGACATATATGATGGTGGCCATCTTGAATTTTGGTCGACCATTTCTTACGCCAAGATGGAAGTTGGCATGTTGCTTACTTTTTAAGATATCCAGCTCACAAGGTTATATATAACAATTGGTGGCAGCCATCTTGGATTTGGATATGGCAACCTAAATTTCAAAAGGAACTTTTCTTTTGCTTACATGCTAAAACACACCAAAACGGAAGTCGGTACCTCTTTTACCAACTTTACCTTTATTCAACTCATTCACAATAATCACATAAAAACGGTTCAAGGTCAGTACGCACAACCAGAATTAATACATAAGGTGCACCTGATTATAAGGCTCAATGTCGATTTTTAAGAAAATTAAAGGATTTTAAGTGTGCCTTATATTCCGAAAAATACGTAAGGGAATGTGAAGACAGACTTGGATAATTTTTCATGTTTTTTTTTTTTGTTTTTTTTAACATTAAGATTAAATTGTGTGTATAACATGATCATTTATCTTCATCGTTGTGGGTAAAATTGCATTAAAGGTCCAGGTTTGTCCTCTCTGCCTCAGATCCACAAACCAAGCAGGCTTACAGTGACTGACAGCTGCCACGACATCAAATGAGCTCCGTGCTCATCCTGAATTTGACCTGCAGATTGCGTTTCTGCCTCTCATACTTGTGGAGAATGTTTCCACTTGAAGAAAGCAATTACATTTAATCCCTCATCGCTGATGCTAGGCTGCAAGGAAACCTTGAGTCTCCGATTTGTGCATTGCAGTCGTAAACTCCACATGTAGGTGTTTGCAGAGTTGGAATAAAGCCACGACAGGATGCATGATGTCATTACTTCAGGACAGGATTATGGTGCTTTGAGACAGATTAAATCCGTCATAGTTATTGGGATATGCAAAAGATTGCCACAGTGAAAATTGCTTTTATGTGCTACAACCTGTACATTGTTTATGTCAATTGTTCTCAAATCTTCTTGCTTAAACTTTTATCTCAGAGACAACCATTACATAAAACGGCACCATTTAACTTTATTTATCATTGGGATATAGCTGTCATGTGCAATAGTTTATTTTCAGAAAGGTACTATAAAATTTATAGCCAAATATGTAGACGGCCTTAAACCAAAAGCCACCAAGCGTTTGTATCATAAAATTACTTCTGTGTGCAGGAAAATCACAAATCCTTGTTAAAGGAGACATGCACCTCAAACTGTGCTTTTCTGTGGAAGCACAGTTTGCCTATATTTATGTAAGGTTGTATGCATATATTTAGAGGAAAACTTCTATATATTTCTGTAAATAACCACCTGGGAAGGAGCAACAAACTCTCTAAGACTGTTTGCAACATGCATTTTGCATGAAAAGCCTTGAGAGAGCTGGCAGTATTTGCACCTAAAGAGAAGAAAACAGAGGAAGAGGCAGTTTGCTGCACTGTTGCTTTCGCAACTCATCTTCTAAAACAACTTTAAACAAAGTAGTAACAAGAACTGTAATTTTATTAATTAATTTACATTACCATGGGATCACAGAACATTTTGAAAGACAAGCTTCAATATCAGAGGTTAATAAACAGGATCCTCCAAGTCAGCAGCCATGGAGAGGACAAAAAATGAGCTTCCTCGTTCCGAAATAGAAATTATCAGATTTTCCGGCGTATAAGTCACAGATTTCTGCATAGATTTTTCAGTCCTGTGACTTATACGCCAAAGCGACTTGTATACGGTTTATCCATATTCATAACACAATTTTTGACTGACGCTTTAAATTTTGAAGAATTGCAACAGCGAGTCCTCCCATGTGCGCTCACTTCACTCAGCTGGTGCAGGCGGAGGAACGCTGGAGAGCTAGCAGCTCCGGCTGCAATGGATGGATGTATGGATGTATGGATGTATGTATGTATGGATGGATGGATGTATGGATGGACAGATGGATGGATGTATGGATGGATGTATGGATGTATGTATGTATGTATGTATGGATGGATGGATGTATGGATGAATG